AACATTTTTGCTGTGAAGTAGAGGCATGTGATCTCCGCTGAGTCAAATTCAGTTTTGAGAACTGCAAAAGTAAACCAAACATCTGTGATAATATCTTGTAGGCAGAGAAGCTGCCCAATAATCTTACAAAAACCTCTGGAAGAGCATGACATTGTGAATGGATTCATGGAATTTATTTACCAAAAAAATTAAACATATACAGCCTTATTCTACATAATTAAAAAACAAATCTTTATTTCATGATGGAATAACCTTTGGATGGTAATCTATTTTCCTCAAAAAGCATTTTATTTAAAAAAAATCTGATTTAAATAAAAAAGAATTTCATTTAAATAAAAGAAAATACTATTTAAATCATAAAAATCCGATTTAAATAGAAAAAAAATCAGATTTCTTTGATTTTTTTTAAAAAAAAAATCATTGATTTTTATCCACCCTGCTTAGAATTGTAGGAAGACGAGTCTGACTCCATGATTAAAGTGGAAGTAAACTCGCACTGGACACTTGTACCTACAAGTAAGGTTTATTGTAAGGAAGGAATATCTCCTAAACATGCACAGTTTAGTAGATATTCATTTTCCCTATAGCCGATTACGTCATCGGCGCATGCACTTTGGAAAGGAACTCCATCTATGTGCCTTTTCTTTAGAGCTCTGTGCCGCGTCCAAGGCTCCCGTGCGCATGCGTGGGAGTGACATCATTGGCCAGAGCCCACGAACCTGGTAGGAAGAGACCGTGTGATGATGGAAGCCCTGTCAGGTGTGACTGTTTACCGCTAGAGGGCTTCGTTCTAAGGTAAGTCTTTTATAAGGTGCTAGTATGCACATTATGACATTATTTTGCAGGAAATTATTTTTTACCAGCTTAAAGTACAAGTGAACCCTCAGCTTGTAAAACAACCCATTGAGTTTCAATTATAAATGAAAGGCAAAACGGTTGTGTATAGATCTAAAAAAAAAAAAAAAATTATAAATACCTTTTTTACAAGTGATCACATGCCCTGTGTTCTCAGCTGCAAAATGAGCATTGAGAGCTAGAGGAGGAGAAACGGCAATATACTGGTCTTCGTAGTGAATGGCTTTGTGGGGATGTAGGAGTTGCTGTGAACTGCATTCATAGGGAACTTTTTTGAGTGTGGAATGCACTAACAAATGCATCCCAGAGCATCTGGTGTGAACTAACCCTCAGCCTCTGCTTTCTGTTGTGTGTGCTAGGAGGCTGTAACATAAATTCCGGTGTTCTCCCCCTTCCCAGGTGCTTCATACAGTCCTCTTTAAACATTAATGGCAGTGCACAGTTGTACTCCAGGTATACTGTGTTGCTATTGTAAACTAGAGCAGCCTTTCTCAATCAGGGTGCCCAGGCACCCTGGGGTGCTGTGAGGTTTCTTCAGGGGTGCCTTGGCAAAATCTCTAAAAATTGCCCAAAACTTGTATACAAGCCAGCGGGTGTAAAAAAAGTTACACAAAGGTTTCCATTGTGCACCATTACAACCTTCTAGCTGCCAGCGTCCTGACAACCAATGACATGTCAGTTGCCTGTATAGCGTCCTAGTTTGAGCCTCCCCTGCCCCTCTCCATCAGTGTTGGGGTTACATTAGCTCAGTGATGGAGAAAAACTGAGGGAGAAGAGAAACATTGGAATATTACTCACTACCAGTGTGCAAAAGTGTATTTGCTTTGGAAGAATAAATCACCTCTAATGTTGGGTGTCCTACATGTGTGGATGTTGCTGCATTATATAAAACTATTAGAATAGTTTTTCACATTTTGGAATGGGGTGCCCTTTTAAAATTATGTACAGTCTAGAGACACCCCATTTTAAAATGGGGTGCCTCAAGACTGTCCATATTTTTAAGGGGTGCCTCGGGACTGTATTTTTAAGGGGTGCCTCGGGACTGTCCATATTTTTAGGGGTGCCTCGGGACTGTCCATAATTTTAAAGGGTGCCTTGACTAAGAAAAGGTTGAGAAACAGTGAACTAGAGTATAGCATGCGGGCATATGCAAAAAATGACTAATTTTTTCCATTGTTTGGTTAGGTCCGTATGCTATACTTCTTATACTTAGTATTTATGTGACTTCTGCCATATACTCCTAGTACAGCTGTGAACAGCCATTCATGTCTATGGGTGGCTATATGCAACACTTGGACTACATTGAAGGGGGGGACTGGACTTTACATTGAACAAGCTCAGACTCCCGTGTTCACAAGTCCGTACAAATGCAGTAAAAATTCAGCTCAGCTTCTCCTTGGTTTTCTCATAATAAACAGAATGAGCAGCTTGTTCTTTTCTCCTTGCGGGTTTCCTAAGCCTGTTTATGAACATTTACAGAGTTTTGGTTATCATGACCTTCCACTGCCTAGTGGCTGTGTAACTGAAATGGAGACAACTGCATTAAAATGCCATATATTAGCTTCAGTACTTCTTACATTTTGGGGAAAAAATAGATTTGTAAAAAAAAAAAACTTGTGGCTTCCAGCTAAGACTTCTAAAACGTTAATCATCTTAGCAGCATATTTAATCATTTATGATGATTGCCACTAAATTGAACCACTTAATTTTGAATGAATATAAAAATGACTACATTTATGAGAAGTGTTCATTTGTTCATTAAAGCTTAATTCCAGACAGATGGCTAAATACGCCATTGATATCCACTTTTATTTCTGTCCATCCAGTCCTGAAATTTACTGGCAGATAATGAACGCTGGTGATAGAATAAACTGACTCCTCCATCCACAGACACAAGGTGGATGGAGGAATTCCCCAAATGAGGACATTATGTTCTGACACTGGGAAACGAGGCTGTCATAATACACTGATCAGAAGCTGCAGCCCCTGATTGACAAAAGTTTTCCAGCGTGCTTGTTTGACAGATGTCAAACTAAAGGGGTACTTCTATTCACCAGGGACAGCCACTTGCTGATCAAAATCTGACCGTTCCCTGCTGAACCACCCGAGCTTCGATCCACCTGCTTTAGCCAGCATGAAGACTTTTTAATTTTTTTTTTTTTTTCCTCATTTGCTGACCAGCAGTAGTACATTTACTGATGACCAGCAACATACCTGAATGTCGCCCTGCTCATGTGAACAGTGCTTGATACCGCTTTTCGCGGCCATAGTATCATGTGATCGATACAACCGATTATAGCGATCACATGTAAACAAAACTGTCATGAATGTCATCCATCCATGACTGCTTGCATACTATTGTGATTGATCACCTAGTACAAAGCTGTTTACAGCAGCCTTGTACCATGTGATAGCTGTAGCCAATTACATCATCACAATAGTAACCATGCTGTCATGACTGAAAGCCATTCATGACAGGTAAAACTATTGCTTATAACAGTGATCATCACTAAAGCCAAAATGTCCAAAGTTCACAACGGTGCAGCTGGAATTGACACATGACAATCTGCAACTATCAACTATAAAAATGTCATACATTTCACAACCACTGCTTCTAGGTGTGTGCTAATACTGCCATGTAGTAGTGGTGAAGGGTTGACATAGCCAAGACTAACAGGTAAATTATGATGGGTTCTCACCATCCCTGCACAGTTCTCAGGTCTGTACACCTGCTGTGTCCATTATGAGGGGTTCCTACCATTCCTGTTCTGAGTTTCTGGGTGGAACATTAGAGTGTAAGCTCCTCTGGTGCTATGACTAAAGTGACTGGCTCAGTGATCTCTGTACAGCACTCTTGTATATGTCAGAGCTATATAAATGTATAATACTGTGTGACTTTGGGGGGGCCATTAGAGTAAAGCTCTGGTACAGAGGCTGAAGTGACTGGCTCAGTGATCTCTGTACAGCACTATGGTATATGTCAGCAAAAAAAAACATTCTGAAATGCACTAATAAAGGTATACCATATGGTAACACACTTTAGTGTAGTGGTCTCCAAACTGCAGCACAGGGGCCAGGTACGGCACTTGCTTTTATCTGGTCCTTTGGGGTGCTATCCCTCCCACTGACACCAACAGTGGGGCACTATTCTTCCCACTGACCCAACAATGGGCACTATTCTTCCCACTGACACCAACAATGGGTCACTATTCTTCCCACTGACACCAACAATGGGTCACTATTCTTCCCACTGACACCAACAATGGGGCACTATTCTTCCCACTGACACCAATAATGTGCACTATTCTTCCCACTGACACCAGCAATGGGGCACTATTCTTCCCACTGACACCAGCAATGGGGCACTATTCCTTCCCACTGACACCAACAATGGGGCACTATTCTTCCCACTGACACCAACAATGGGGCACTATTCCTCCCACTCACACAACAATGGGGCACTATTCTTCCCACTGACACCAACAATGGGGCACTATTCTTCCCACTGACATCAACAATGGGGCACTATTCTTCCCACTGACACCAACATCAAATGGGGCACTATTCTTCCCACTGACACCAACAATGGGGCACTACAACAATGGGGCACTATTCCTCCCACTGACCACAATGGGGCACTATTCCTCCCACTGACACCAACAATGGGGCACTATTTCCTCCCACTGACACCAACAATGGGGCACTATTCCTCCCACTGACACCAACAATGGGGGCACTATTCCTCCCACTGACACCAACAATGGGGCACTATTCCTCTCCCACTGACACCAACAATGGGGCACTATTCCTCCCACTGACACCAACAATGGGGCACTATTCCTCCCACTGACACCAACAATGGGGCACTATCACACCAACAATGGGGCACTATTCTCGCCCTAATACTAAAGAGAGAGCATTAACTCCCACTGGCCACAGTCCAGCCCCTCTAATGTAAACCGGCTCTTCGTTTAGAACGTTTGGAGACCCCTGTATTAAGGTAAAAAAAACTTTGGCCTTGAGAACCACTTTAAATAATTGTATTTTAAAATAAAATCTGATTTTTTTTTTTTTTTTTTTTTTTTTTTTTTTTTTTTTTTTTGTAGTTTTCCTTTATTGTGCTGAGAACCAAAAAGTGAGGCGGGATGCCCACAGAAAGTGGAAGCTGGTCGGCTGCGCGGCAGACGAAACAGAAACGCAAGTCTAACAGCCTGACGTTAAAACGACGAACAGCTCAGAGCAGGATCGGCCTGGTCTGCAGAGGGACTTGCTGGAGGGACAGGTAAATTCGTAGCTCTATGGTGCTTGTCTGTTTTGTTATGAGCAATCGTTTCCTGGTGTATTTCACTGATAGTGGTGTGGGTGGAGGGCTTGATCGAGCTGCAGATTTATTTGTACCACTTGAAAAATTATGGAGTTGGGAGCTAGTACTCCCTTGATCAGAGTCTTTTGATGGGGAATGGTAGGATCCTCTGTCAGTTCATACTGCTATCTGGTCCCATTGGGAAAATTTACCTTAACTACCTGTCTCCATGAAAACCATGGAGGCACCCAGTGATTATTATATTTGTTATTTAAATTCACTATCTCAGTTCCGGATATTGCTTCCCCCCCCCCCCCCCCTTTCCTGCCCAGGCCAATTTTCAACTTTCAGCGCTGTCACACTTTGAATGACAATTACTCAAGCATGCAATGCTGTACCCAAATTACACTTGTCTTTTTTGTTTTTGTAAGAGTGCTTTCTTTTGACTAGTGCAGTGGTCTCTAAACTGTGGCTTGGGGGCCAGATGAGGCTCTTTGCTTGCTTTAATCTGGCCCTTTGGGTGCTATTAATATTCACTGATACCAACTGTGGAGCATATTTCCCCCCACTGACACCAGCGACGGGGGCGCTGTTCCCCCCCACTGACACCAGCGAAGGGGCGCTGTTCCCCCCCACTGACACCAGCGACGGGGCGCTGTTCCCCCCCACTGACACCAGGACGGGGGCGCTGTTTCCTCCCACTGACACCAGGGACGGGGGCGCTGTTCCTCCCACTGACACCAGGGACGGGGGCGCTGTTCCTCCCACTGACACCAGGGACGGGGGCGCTGTTCCTCCCACTGACACCAGGGACGGGGGCGCTGTTCCTCCCACTGACACCAGGGACGGGGGCGCTGTTCCTCCCACTGACACCAGGGACGGGGGCGCTGTTCCTCCCACTGACACCAGGGACGGGGGCGCTGTTCCTCCCACTGACACCAGGGACGGGGGCGCTGTTCCTCCCACTGACACCAGGGACGGGGGCGCTGTTCCTCCCACTGACACCAGGGACGGGGGCGCTGTTCCTCCCACTGACACCAGCGACGGGGGCGCTGTTCCTCCCACTGACACCAGCGACGGGGGCGCTGTTCCTCCCACTGACACCAGCGACGGGGGCGCTGTTCCTCCCACTGACACCAGCGACGGGGGCGCTGTTCCCCCCCACTGACACCAGCGACGGGGGCGCTGTTCCCCCCCACTGACACCAGCGACGGGGGCGCTGTTCCCCCCCACTGACACCAGCGACGGGGCGCTGTTCCCCCCCACTGACACCAGCGACGGGGGCGCTGTTTCCCCCCCACTGACACCAGCGACGGGGCGCTGTTCCCCCCCACTGACACCAGGGACGGGGGCGCTGTTCCTCCCACTGACACCAGGGACGGGGGCGCTGTTCCTCCCACTGACACCAGGGACGGGGGCGCTGTTCCTCCCACTGACACCAGGGACGGGGGCGCTGTTCCTCCCACTGACACCAGGGACGGGGGGCGCTGTTCCTCCCACTGACACCAGGGACGGGGGGGCGCTGTTCCTCCCACTGACACCAGGGACGGGGGCGCTGTTCCTCCCACTGACACCAGGGACGGGGGCGCTGTTCCTCCCACTGACACCAGGGACGGGGGCGCTGTTCCTCCCACTGACACCAGGGACGGGGGCGCTGTTCCTCCCACTGACACCAGGGACGGGGGGCGCTGTTCCTCCCACTGACACCAGGGACGGGGGCGCTGTTCCTCCCACTGACACCAGGGACGGGGGGCGCTGTTCCTCCCACTGACACCAGGGACGGGGGCGCTGTTCCCCCCCACTGACACCAGCGACGGGGGGCGCTGTTCCCCCCCACTGACACCAGCGACGGGGGCGCTGTTTCCCCCCCACTGACACCAGCGACGGGGGCGCTGTTCCCCCCCCCTGACACCAGCGACGGGGGCGCTGTTCCCCCCCACTGACACCAGCGACGGGGGCGCTGTTCCCCCCCACTGACACCAGCGACGGGGGCGCTGTTCCCCCCCACTGACACCAGGGACGGGGCGCTGTTCCCCCCCACTGACACCAGGGACGGGGGCGCTGTTCCCCCCCACTGACACCAGGGACGGGGGCGCTGTTCCTCCCACTGACACCAGGGACGGGGGCGCTGTTCCTCCCACTGACACCAGGGACGGGGGCGCTGTTCCTCCCACTGACACCAGCGACGGGGGCGCTGTTCCTCCCACTGACACCAGCGACGGGGGGCGCTGTTCCTCCCACTTGTGTCAGGACCTTTTCTACTCCCAGTGGCTACAGTCTAGCTCCACTTTAAGTCTGAAGCACAGTAAACTGGTCCTTTGTTTATATAGTTTGGAAACTCCTCGACTATTGGAACTAGGGCCCCATATATCTTTGTTCTTGATGGTGTTGTTCCATTACCTATCTCCATGTGACAGCATTGTCTCCCCTACAAGATCACAGATTGTAGCTGTCAAGCTTTAACTGCTGCCTATACTCCTGTAAGGGAGATTTCACTCTATTTGTCCTGTTTACCATTATTCCCAAGAGTGAAAGTGAAAGAAAATCCCAAGTTTTGGATCTCACCAAACCTGGAATACAGGGGATATCTTCCAATGAGGACAGTACTTCTGACAACCTTGGTGACAACCAGGGATTCCCTCACTTTGGAGGGATTTCCTCTTACTTTGTTTTGGCTATTGGACAGGAAATGAAGGGAACCCCCCCCCCTTCCTCAATGAACAGAGATGGCAAAAAAGAAACTGGCAGAGGTTATCACCCTCTCTTACTCTGTCCAAAATAGGGGGAAAAAGTTTTTTAGCCTTTTAGTTCTACTTTAAATCTCAACTGCAGTTTGAGAACCCCGTTTGTTGCCCCAACCTCTCTGGAACATTCTCTCCGGGCTAGATGATGCTCTTCCAGGGCTAGTTCAAAATTGCAGAACAGGGAGTCTTTGGGGGGCATTGCCGGAGATAGGGAGTATTACAGCAACAATTGTTTTTTTTTTTTTTTTTTCTAATTTGTTTTTACAGGTGCAGAGTTGGTTATTTTTTTTTTTATTTTATTGTAATCTGGAGTAGGACTTAAAATTATAAAGACCTCTCCTACCCTTGCTAGGGTTAGCTATGGAACACCTAATTTGCAAAGTTTTGCATGGGATGAATGTATGTATTTGGTATACGTAGATATATGTAATTTCAGCACCTGTGTGTGCTCAGCCGAACGATGGTAAAAGTGCTAAAAAAAAAAAAAAAAAAAAGATCTGGAGGGGTGCTTTAAGCTTGGGTTCACACTGATGCAGTGTGGAAAATGCAGCGATTCCTGTGTGTTTCCCACACTGCATAGCAATCCTACTGTGTTCAGCGCTTGCCTGAACTGGATCGCATCCCTGCGATCCATTTCCAGTGCGAATAGAATATAAGCTGCCCACACCTTTTTGATGCGGATGTGGTGCGATATGAGCCATCCACACCCAGGTTAAAGCAAAACTTACTCTTAAGCACCACAAGACCTTTTTGAATTAATTTTTTAAATGACATGAATTGACATGTTGCAGGTTATTTTGAATTTGCTTAAATATGTTCACACGGGCTTTTCTGATCTTTTACAATTCATGATTACATAGAAACAATAGAATCTGCAAATCCCACAATCCTGTTTAATCTGCATATTTCCTTTCGGATCTGCCTGCTTTGTAGAGTGATTTTTCCTATCCCTCTCTATTTTATGGTCTGTACCAAGTATGTTCACTGAGAATACAAATACGTGTAGATACACAAAATTGAACTTTTTGTAGTGCAAACTGTAGGGTGGTGGAACAAAGACTAAAGTTGTCACTTGTAGTAATTAAGCAGAATATTAGTAGCGATGAACTCTGATTTGTATAATTTGGGGAGGTGCTACATAGTAGTCTATTAATGTTCTTCATAACTTAATCCGTGTGCTTTTCCCTGAATTGCACATCACTTGTATGTTTTTAAATTTTGTTGCTAAAAATGGTCATGTCCAGTTGTAATAAAATCAGAGACAGATTCTTTGATCAGCTTTACCAAGCCCCTCTGTGTATATGCAAGTTTGATTTGTGTACTGTCTAATAACCCTTTTGTTTATAGTGTCTTATTTCTTCTTTTCCTTTTTTATTACCATTTTTGGCAAGTTTTGCCTGGCTGTCTTTTTTTTTTTTCCCCATTTTTTTACACGCTTGTATGTTGTATCAAATATTTGATTCTCTTTTAGGCCCCATTCACACTATATGCGTTGGGCTGCAATAGCCAGCTTTGCCCAACTCAGTCCTAATGCATAGCGAAGACAATTTGCATTGTGTCCTTCTAGCTCAGTTGACACCAAGGTGTTTGCAGTGGTTCACAATGAAAAATAGCAGAATGTTCTACATTTTGTGCCACATGTTGCAATGTACTACACTGCATTGTATTGTGCTGTGGTACATAGAAATGTATTGAAATGTCATTTTGTGAAAGTATTATTTAGGTGTGTGTTTTTTTTTTTTTTGTTTTTTTGTTTTTTTGTAATTTGTATATATGTCTTTAATTTGGATGGGGAAAAAAAATCTAATAAACATATGATTAAAAAAATGGCTTGATGCTCTGCCCCTGTACATCATTAAAATATAAAAGTTTGAGGGTATGCCAGATCCAGGTTTTCATGCCATCAGTCGCTGTAAATTAACACTATTTTTTCCAGCATGCAGCTCGAGCATAGCATTAGCTCTATTCGCTTTATTTCTGTGACTTTAGCAACAGGAACCTGGTATTGATTATACGCTACATTGCCAAAAGTATTGGGACACCCCTCTAAATCATTGGATTCAGGTGTTCCAATCACCTCCATAGCCACAGGTGTATAAATCCAAGCACCTAGGCATGCAGACTGCTTCTGCAAACATTTGTGAAAGAATGGGTCCTCTCAGGAGCTCTCTGAATCCAAGCTTGGTACTGTTAGAGGTTGCCACCTGTGCAATAAGTCCATCCGTGAAATTTCCT